AGAGAGAGGAGACAGAGGGAGAGAGAGAAAACCACACTCGCGAGAGTCTTTCGTCTATTGACATTTTTGCAGAGCGTAGCGTAAAACGTGATTAACAATCATGTGACAGTAGCATGTGAAGTGTAATAAATTGCAATAGCAAAGCATTGCCGGGTCCACTAGTAGTATGTTTATAAGATGGGCTTGATTTCTGGCGGAACGCGACGGAACGGCGTTCCGGTCTCAGGAATAATTATTAATTATATTATAAATACATAACCCTTTCTTTTAATTAATTATTAACTTTGTAGCGCGTTCCGGGACATACAATTTTATAAATAAAGAATTGTATATACTGGATGATCAGTTTAAAATACAACCCACAGCAAGCAGAGAACTGCTCTGGCCACTATGGTCGAGCGGGTCGAATCAGAGAGTATGGGTCGGATAGCGGCTGGCTGTTTCAAGCAGGTAAACTGTCGGGAGGTAGTGTCACCTTTGTAAAGGAGGCCCTGAGAGAAGTAAACTTAATCCCCTTTTTCCTTATGCCACAAAGAGGAGGAGAGCGGGTGACCGTTGTGGCTACCATTTCGAAGAGAAAGGCACGCGTCTGCTTGTTAGGCGTCGAAAGAAAATTGGGATATTCTTTACCTGTTGAGGGACGCAGCTCATTGCACTCGTCTTTTGTCGTGACACCAACCTACGAACATGTAATGTCGTTCTTCATGCTACTACCAACTTACGGAAACGTACATATAATACTTGTTTTCACGTAAAAAGAACCAAACATTGTAAAATAACGTTGTTTTCTCTAACCTAAAGCAAACACGAAGGAAAATTATACAAAACAGAGTTACAAATTTCAAAAACACTTTATTTAGAAAAATCACAAGTTTCAAAATGCAATATTACAATGTTCAACTAGAAACATGAATGTATCGCTATCCATCCTCTTGCAATCAAATATTCCCCGAAATGGCTGTCCAAATCATTCTGGCGTAAACCACTGCGAGGGAGACGATGACGTAAGGGGCGCCATTGGCTTTCGATAGTGTTTGTGGCAGCACCCGCCACTTGGTTCACAAAATTAATCGAATGATTCACCGTCATGTGATTAAAATTATGTTGGGTTTGACGTTGGTATCCCCTCGAAATATCGGCGACAACAGCTGTTTGAGGTTGCACATGCTGTTGAATCACGGGCAGTAAAATATTAGAATCCCTTCCATTTCCAGAGTAAATCTGCTATCTCACTTCTTTGATTTCGCGATCAATGATGCCAAGCACCTAGTTACCCGGTACCACATGACCTCTTTTCTTTCGCCGGCCGATTTTACATTCGGCAATTTCTACGTCTGAGTTAGGCCCACCAATTCTCGGTGCTTACAAATATCTTCTGTTGCATCCATGCAAGCATCATGCAGCAATGATTGCTACTCCGCAACAGTCTTGTGAGACAATGTTTTTCCTTCGTAGGAAGTCTTGATCGCAGTATCATCATAGGAATATTTATATGCGAAGCAATATATACTTCGAAGAGTTTGCTCCACAGCTCACTTCACATTTGCAAAAATCGTATTTCTTGTTGCGCAGTTTTCACCCTTGGATAATTCTTTCCCCCCGAGAAGTCACCAAACCCTTTTCCTCTGATCCCAATAGCGGTTAATAATGCCCCACTATCCGGACATGGCATTTGAGTGGAAAAAAAACCGATGTTGACACCACTACACACAGACTGCTTTATTTCTCACAGTATTTGATAAACTTATCCAGTTCCTGTTCTGGTTCATGTTGACAACACTGAATACTATTAATACTTACTCAGATTACGAAGGTTGGCAGAACGAACCGGAAATATGTACATTTGTTATGATGTCAGACCTATAGTGACTTATGAAGAACATTCATAAGTCACATTACACACATGTAACCCACACATGTAAAAGAACAGCCGGAAATTGTATTGACAAGAAAAGTGCATCCTTCATAAAATATATAAAATTAAAATAAACTTGCAATATAAAATACACAATTAGCTAGATTTAATAACAAACTTTGCTTATTTTAGTTTGTCAGAAAATATGATCCAAAAATGTGCACATGAATCATATTTTCATATTTAAATAAGTATAATTAATAAATTATGAATTCCAGATTCGCAGGAAAATAGCATTATTTATTATTATTATTATTATTATTATCATTATTATTATTATTATTATTATTACTATTATTTAAATACTAAAAATAGTTTTGAAAGAGCGGGTTCAATAGTCAGTACATTCACTAGTTAAATTGTCAGCGAGTCACTGGTTATCAGTACATCACATCCTTGCTTTTCATCCCATTACATGCTCATAAAAGTACGTCCCAAAATCCCAATAAATTTTTAAAACTTGTTTCCACATTTGGGAGAAATATCCAGTAAAAATGTATGTATAGTTTTGTCTCTGTACGGAAAATAATTGTTGCTGGTTGAAAACACTTTTGCATATTTTTGTAGTAGTCAAATATAGCGAAATGCTTCGAAATTATTTGAGAAAGTCGTTCTATTGAGGCACTACTAGTTTATCATCATGTCGCACACAAGGAGACTCTTTAATGAAATAAAAATTGTGGCAATTTTCGAAAAAACACGAAAGATGGCCGAAAATAGAACTAGGCCTGTATTTTTACCGTCCCTTATTCCATAAGAGGGAGAGGTTTAAAGAAAAAATTAAAGCAAGTTTTGAGAAAAAACATTAATTTTTTAAGACTTATTCATATTTGGCGCAAAATTGCACGAAAACTACGCATATTTTCTAAAAATTGAACACAAACGTATTTGAATGTCTTTTAAACGCTCAAAAAATTGCACTTTTTTAATTTTTTTTAAAAAATCTGCGATTTCAACGAATATGAGGCTTGTACCAGACAGCGACCGAATTCGACCTAGATATCTAGCTAACATAAAAAAGTCCTGGCACCGTCGTGAGTGGAACCCTAGAAGATCCCGGTCAGAGGCACTGCAGTGACATCAGTGGATGTCCTGAGCCACCTATCCCGGTCCATGCGTTCAGAACTTGCGTTGTTTAGTTGCGAACGTGGAGGGGGCATTCTGAGTTCTTCGTGTATTATATCTATGCCACTAACCTTCCATAATATCTTCACCTGACAGGGAACTGTGTGAGAAATGTGTATGTAATTGAAGAATTGCATTCCACAGCCAGAACAAAGATACAAGCAACGAGATGGAGCCAAGGGATGCCATGAACAAACGAGTTCAGGACTGAGACGCAATGTTTGGAGAGCACGATGGAGCTCTTCACAGGGAATCACACAGATAGTCATCACAATCACTCAGATGAGCACTAGATACCTAGAAACGTCCTGGTAGGTCTTTTAGGTGCAGAAAGATAGCAACTGGGAAGAGTGTGCGGTAAAACTGTAAAAAGCAAGTTAAGGTTCAAGTCAACAGAAAACCAAGTAGTTCACGAAAGTCTGTTCCATTCTGAAGTATCACTAATTTACATCACATATCACTCAAAGAAATGTTTTTGGATTTTGAAAAACAAAATATTTAACTACATTTACCGGCACTCCGAAGAAATTCCGTTATTGCAACAATGGGCGTACAGAAAATTAGAGTAGCAATAAATAAAAGGGAACTTTCAATTCGGAGGCACGTACTTAAGATAGCTTCGTCATTATCGCGAACTCGTCTGCAGTGGAACAAAAACAAAAATACTGATCAACGTGAAATGAGGTCTTGCTGATAACAGGTGCTGAAGTTACTTCGTTATGAAAACTCAGAACTTTTTCTCGCTCTCACCTGACGATCAGTAGTTTCCCATGACGTCCAACCTCTGTCAGGCAAGAATTACGATTCCATTACGATGTTTTACAACTTCTTTCGATTCGATTTCTGCTAACTAATTGTGCAAATATGAGTTTTAGACTACGAATTTAGTAATGATAAGGATTTTTTGTCAAAGAAGAGGAACGTATTAATCAATAAAAGGAGACGTGGCAGCGTAATGGTTAGAACGCGTTCGCTAACATGAAAGACCCGGTTCAATTCTCATGGGATTTTTACCCATGACTTATTTAGGGCAATCCTGAGGTTCACTCATACTCCTTCCAAAATTAGTATCAAAATGTAATGGATTTATTGACAATAAATATTGGAAAACGTGTGCACATGAAGCATGGCGCTTGACAAGCCATCTTCTCCCACATCCAGAAAGCATATACGATCTTCTATGAACCGTTAATTTACAGAACTGGGGGTTCCTGCAGTAATTAATAGTACAAAGAGTAATAAAAAATGAATCGAAAGAAATGTTTGCTACAGTACAGACTTTTAATCATGTGTTGCCTAAGGTAAATATTTACCTTATTAAAAGTGTTATAATTCATTAAACAAATATATCTAATTTTAGAATGCATTGACTATTATCTGTTATTTCAGAAACTTCGATATCACATTTAATACGAACTCTTTCTTAGATATTGTGGAAATGAGACTTCTTTTCACAATCAGAAAACAAAAGAAAAAATATCCGAGTGGTAATCACAGTGAGTGTGAGGAGTTACGATGCTACTACATACAATATTATAACAGGGGTCAATTTGGTAGCAATTAATCTGGGAATACACATTAGTTAATTAGAAATAATGAGAGCATTTTGAAATAATTATTCTTGGGGTACTTTTACTTTCTCGCTACGGAGTAGAGAGAACGTTATGGAATGCTGCGAGGAAAAACTCTTATTACTGGACCCTGGTAACGAAAAAGTGGATAAATCTAGTTAAAATTAGTAAAAAACCCTCTAAAACGTACTATAGCCAGAATATGTTTTGAGGATCCTTGATACCGAAAAATTGAACGACGGCAAAACGCCCTGTCTGTGAACAACTCTAGCGGCTAAACCATTCAGAATATTTTCTCCAAAACTGATATTCCTCAATCAATCTGACTGATGTCGCGGCCCCTCGAATTTGAAATCGATATTTTAATTTTGGGGGTCCTTTACATGAAGCCCCTGGGACATTTTCAATTTTTTTTAAAAAAATCCATTTTTTATTATATTTTGTTGCTGGATAGTATGAAGGACGTTTAAGAGAATGGTGCAGGTCTCGGGTTCGTTGAAAACCCTGATTTTTCGTAAATTGCAAAAGTTTAAAAAAATGTTTTCGGTGTCTTCCAACAACTAAAATATTAAAGGTAGATTTTCCTATTAATGAAATATGTTCCTTAAAGATAGATTTTGAAAAAAGGTCATGTATAATTTATCAAAAGTTGTGTAGTTTTCGCGTAATGTTGCGTAAAATTACGGGAGAAAAAGTACGTGCTGTTTTAGCATGACTAGTTTCTTTTCCGGGTTCTGCCAGAACTTCGCTTTCGGCCCTGATGCTGCAAGATTAACTCTCATGATGATTGCTACGCGATCGAAATGATCTTTAGAAAAAAACTGATACCTAAGAAAACCTTTTCTCAAATTAAAAAAAAAGAAATACTGGTGTTGTTCACAGACACACAGGCCGCAAAGACGGACATTTTGCCTAAAACGGGTTTTTCGGTATCAAGGACCCCAAATCGTGGATTCTGACTACGCAATGTATTAAAAAGTAATTTACCATATATTGGAAGAACATTTGTTAACTTTTGCTGTATAAGGGCTCCAGAATGAGAGTTCTTCTGTCGAAAATTCGCCGTTTTTGCCGCAGCGCTACCTAACTTTCTCTAAACTACACATACAATTCCATATACGAATGACAAAGCAAATATTGGGGCCATTTAAAAAAGTCAAAATTGTCGTTGGCGCTTCGGGTAAAGTAGCATCGCAAATTAAAGTACCCGTTTCAAATGCCGGCGGCCTGGATGTCAACATGATCGATTAGGGAATATGAACTTTGGTGAAAATTTTGTGTGCGGTTTAGGTATTAGTGTCGTTTACAGACGGACGGAATCAGTAAGACGACTTGAGAGGTACATTTTTTCGTTATGAAGTTCCTCAAAACATGATTTTGATTGCAGTTCATATATGAGAAAGTCCTCTTTTACAAATGGAAAGAACAAAAATTCAAAAGATTAAAAACAAGATTTTTCAAAAACTACTTCAATTTTTTTGTTTACTCTTTTTCTAGGGATAGTAGCAAATCTATCATAATAATGCTAAATCCATAAGTCTACAGAAATGTCAATTTGCTGTAGTCATTTGTTTTTAAAAAAATTAAACAAATGTAATATATTTGATATATTCTCACGTCGTTAATGTTTACGTTACTGGCGATTTGAAAAAATGGCATTTTCTCAAAATCGCTCCAAATATTTTCACGAAAATATGAATGTAGAACCAGGTTTAACGCTTCTATAATATTCTTAAATTAAAATTAGAGTTCTATCATTAGTGCACCGAAAAACTGGGAAATTCTGAAAAAATGACCTTTAGGCGGCAATAAATGTCATCTGAGAAGAGGGAGGGGGAAAACTGAAAAGCTAGCCTGGAGTAAAAGAATTCCAAAACTAACCAGTTCAAGAAAGTCTGTGCCATTCTGTAGCATCACTGATTTCATTAATAAACTTGTTCTTTAAGAGAAACATCTTTAAATAATTTCACATTCAGATTTTCGAAACTATGGATAGTTTTCCAGTAAAACTGAATGAATAAAGAAAAACACTTTTTCCCCAAAAATATGTTTTGCTCAAATCGAGTAAAATTTGCTTAATAATACGGAACTATTTTCATTAAAGTCACTTGATTTTCAAAGACTGCAAAAGTTCATAATTTTTTACTACCTTTTAACTCCTTTAATATTGAAGCTAAAGATTTATTTATCAGTTCTACGTATTCCTCAAAATTCATGTATACCTTTTCAAAACATTATTAGTTAAAGCGTAATTTTGAGTTGAAATGTGGAGTATAACAAGCGCATTTCAAATATATTGTAACTCAATAAACATGGCGTGACAGTGACATTTCACTCGGATAATACTTCGCTAAATTTTGCAAATCGTTAAAAGGTTTTATTTCGTTATTCATTTGAAGGTAATAATTAATTTTTTGACATTAGTAAAAATAGATAAACTTTTTATTTCATTATAATTTTGCGTACAAAAGAAAACTTAAATAAAGTTGAAGTGCGAAAATGTTTTTGTATCTTCCAAAATTGAAATTTGATTAGATGTGGATCTAAAGTGTCCCATTGCATATCACACTTCTGCGTTCTGCCCAAACAATTATAAGTCATTAACTGAGACTGTTGCGATAAGGCAGTAACCATGTAGGTGGTAATGTAACGAACACAGAAGTAGTCGATAAGTTCGTTTCTTTAAACGGTTAATCTCGACCGACAGTAAAGCAATAAAAAGCAAAGAATGTTAGATAGAAATAAATATTTCGGTTTCACGCAACCGACGCATAGTTGTCCGAAAGTTTCTCAACGCGGACACCTACACACGAGTGAGATTGTGGTGTGTATGTTAGTATTTGTCCCGCTTTTCCAACCGCAAAACATCGTTTCTTTATCAGAGAAACTTTCGGGATATATTTCAAGCGCTTCCCGCGAACACCGTTAGTGAAGCAATAAGCGAGAATACGAGAACCGGACTGACAGCGCCATCGAGTGTTTTTTGCAACGAACACCACGCGTTCGCTGGAGTTCGACGACCAACGCCGCTGGCACCGGTTCACGACGCCTCATCAGCAATTCGCCTCGGTAAGAAACGCTTTGCCTCGCGTTATCAGGTGCGGCCCCGTGAGTAGCAATCAGGTTTCTTGATGAGACGCTGTGAGCTTCGTGTAATCACAGATTTCAGGAAGCTATAAATAACGAAATTGTTTGTTAAACACAGGCCCATTTCAACACATTATAATTACTCGCACGTCATCTAGTAACCTCTCCAAATCTTTGTCTCCGACTCATCGAACCAATTGTCACTTTATCTCCGAGGTCCTTGATCGTACTCAAAGAGGCTTTCATCCATTGTATTCTGAACTATGTGATAAAATGCCAAATAACATCTAAATATCTGGAAAGCCCTTCGATAAGGGAAGTGAATGCACAATGGTGATTTGTGTGTGCAGATTCAGCGACGCCTGTACACGGAGAGCGGAGCGGAGCACCGGCTGTCTCCGAAATGAGAACCCTCGGGATTGTTGCTGGCCTCTTGCTCCTTGCCGGGCTGCACTATGCTTCGGCGATTGAAGGTATGGTAATCTCCGACCGTTCCTCTCTTATTAAGTTTCTATTAAAATGAAAGGGTACAATTCATTACCTCGTAAGAATATACCAAAATGCAGAAATGGGACTGGCAATACTGCTCAAAACACACTGACTTTTTTGGTTTAAATTCTCACATTATTTATTCTTTTGTCAAGAGATTCCTTATATTTAAATTAAATATTTTCACTTACGGTTGATTCAAATGAAAGAGATCTGAGGATAGATCATCTAGGAGAGGGATGCCAGCAAATTTAGTCCGTTAGTGACCTTTCAGAGTTTGGCGTGCTCCGCGGTCTCATACGGTGGAAACCGGAGGCCCGAAAATAGGGGGAAATTCCTGACATTCCTTCTGACAAGCAAAAAAAGTTAAATTGTATACTTATAATAATAATAATAATAATAATAATAAAAGAAATATATTTAGTAATCACCCCAATCACCGGTATTATGAAAAGTTTCGCAGTGACGCTAAACGATAATTTGTTAATTATTATTTTGTGAGTTTGCTGTCAAGATTATCCTTTCTATAGTTAGTATTTAAGTGTATTGACATTGCAAATTCACATTCTGGATAAATATCTTCTGCATATTAAACATTGCGCATAATAATGCGTCTTCATACACTCAGAAATTCAAACACAACAGAAATGCAACACCTATACTCAATACCTCCTCCAAAGACAGAAGGAATGTTTCAGAATCTATTGGTATTTTGCGTTTTGTTGCACAAAGTATTGACACGTGATTAACGATATGAGTTCCATCCGACTAAGCGAATAGTTGGTGCCTCGTCTCTGCGAAATGAGTAGAAGCGAATTCTCATCTTTCTTCTTCAGCGTCTCGCCACTCTCCAAGACTACACTGGCGATGCACGTTGGGATGACAAACATTGTATCCGTTTCCTAAACAATGAACCGATATTTTCTATTTTATTCTTTTTCACAAAATATATTTAAGTGCCAGGACAGTAGTTCTCCCACACAAGCAATTATTCGTTTTTTTCCATCATACAACAATACTTTTTTTAAATATGATCATTAGAAACTGTCTTCCGATGCATTAAATAATTCGTGAAATGGCATTTTCTGTTAACATTACGCCATTACTCTTTCCTGCCCGAAATGGCGGCAAGTCGCCATTGAGAGGTGGGAGTGAACAACATTTTTGAATGGGAAGTGGAGGGGCTGCGGAAAGAGAACTGAAGACTAATATCCTAATATCCTATCATGAAATAGGTCTTGTGCACTACTACTTCCTGTAGGAAAACCTGAGGAAACGTATTTGCACGGAGTTCGAAAAAAAATCGTCAGTAGGTAGCTCTGGACATTCTGCAAGGAAACATTGCGCAAGTGTCACCGATTCCGGGCTGCGCCTGCATACAGCCTTCATTTGCAAGTCCCATGTTGCAATTTTCACAACTCTCAATTATTGCGCTTACGGCTACCCTGTAAGAGTACACAGTTCTCGAACGCCTCTAACCAATAAAAGGAAACACGGAACATGAAATGCCGTAATTTTTTAATTCTGCAATCGAAGAATAACATGGCGAACACCTACTTTGACATCAAATACTATACAGAATGAAAGGAAAGAAGGATGTATTATTTGGGAGGGTAGTATACCTTGAACCGCCTTGTCATAGCCGCCATTGATAATAACAAATAATAAGTCAAAGCACCTCTAATAAAAAAAAATATATATTATATCTCAAAAGAGATAGGTAATAAAGTATTGGTACCATATGTTTCTCAATTAAATATACCATTGTCTAGTCTGAGCAATCCTTATGCATACAATACATGTGATTAACCCAACTACTCTGATAGATACGCAAATATATTTCCGCAAATAGAGTAATATTTGGATTTTTACCTTTCATTAAATAACGAAGTTCTTTTCTGTGAATTTCAGGAATTTTCCTGTGATGTAAGGTGTACTAAAAATTATATTAGTGGTAGGTGATACTCGCTTCTAACACAAGAAATTTGTGAAACAATTTATCGTGCAATAAATACACAATTATAAACTAGTTGCATAATATATTGCTTCAGGACCTCCATTTTTTTAAATTATGTAAATAAGTTAAAACTAAATTAATATATGTTTTGAAACAGAAGAGGATAGTGCAATATGATATGTAATAAAATGGCATGAGCAAATTCTTTAAATAACAAAAAGTGCTTGGCACGGTGTAGTTGGCGACTCCTAAGGTATGACCAGGAGATCATAGATTTTCCTTTATCATAGCGCCCAGGATTTCTTCCGAATAAGTGATTAGATTGGGGGTTGAATCTATATCTTATTGATAACCATTCTATACTAATTTCAGATAAGTGAGTCCGTATACGCTTAAAAGAAACTATTCTTTCCGGGGATTTAGAAACAAAGCATTTGATAACCTATTTAAAAACATTTTGTATAAAACAAATAACAAACACCTCCAGCGGTAAAAATCCTAATTTCAGTAAAATTGTATTTTTTGTATGGCTCAAGAGGTGATCCAACGCTGCCCCCTTTGTTTTAAACGACAATAATAATAATATAAATAATAATAATAATAATAATAATAATAATAATAATAATAATAATAATAATAATATCATCTAAGGCCAGGGACCTTAGTATCTTAAATTAGTGTCTTACCCTCTTAATATTTAAAATAACACAGGATGTCCAGGGAAGAAACGTAGAAAATTCGTGAATAAGCTCTTAGGCAATTTTAAGCTTATTTTGTACAATAAACTACAGGGTTATTCCGAGTGGTTGGGCCGCAATAAACACTGCAAAGTTGGTTTGAAAAATCGCTTTACATACAATTTCCATTACAGAAGCATAGAAACACTCCAGAAATATAAATTGCTTATTTACTAAAGAAACGAATATATTTGTTCGGAAAGAAAACTTAACCCAGAAATAAAAAAAAACAGTCGAAATGTGTAAATTGGGCACTTCTCTATTTCTGTGTTACTTTTTTTCTGAACACATATATTAATTTCTATTGTAAATAATAAACAATTTACATGTTTGTTGAGTGTTCCAATGCTCCTCTAAAGCACATTTTTGCTAGAAAGAATTTTTACTAACCAACTTTTGAGTGCTTATTGCGGCTCAACTATTCGGAATATCCCAGTTGTTTATGAGAAAAAATATGCTTAAAATTGTCTTAAGAGTTTATTTGCGAAGTTTCGACGTTTTCTCCCTGGTCATCCTGTATATCTAATCCAGCCGAATTCTTTTTGTGGGGAAGGGACATTACAGATATTTGTTAAATGATAAACATATTTGTTATTATATTGTATATTATTTGTGTAGTGTATACGATACTATATAATATTATTTTCTTAAATTATTACATAATTCCAACATATATATTTAAATACATTTTATTAAAGGAAGGTAACAAACAAAACTATAGCCCTTTTGAATCCGCCACTGTAAAAGGCAATTTTCTCTCACTAGTTTGTTTTCTAATTTCATTAATTTAGGCTAGCTTTTCGCCATTGTCCCAACCTCTTTCCCGCTGCAACCTATCGGCGTCTAAAAAACATTGTTCTCGATTTTCTCAATTTTTCATTTTCCTAATAGTAGAATTGAAATATGACTTCAAGAATGTTATAGAAAAGTAAAATGAGGTTCTATACGTAAATTTTAATTGAGAAATTTGGTGTAGCTCTTTAGAAAATGTCCATTTTAAGTGATTCTGAATGAAATAAATTGGTCTCTTCACTGTCTCAGAAAAATGTATGCCTCGTTCATAAATTCTCAAATGTTTTGGCTGTTGATATCCGATAAAATAGTATTGTACGTGATTAACAAATGGCGGCCATTTTTGTTTTGGCTGTAGAACTTCATGGTTTGGTAAATTCCAAAGCGCTAGGTTGTAACTTTTTAAACTAAAATGCGTTGGATTCAGTAAACTGTCACCTTCAAATCAAAGTGTTATTTACCTACTACTTATTTCTGTATCTTCTTTGAACTACATATAAATTCATATTACATATGTGTCGAACAGTAGTCTACTACCGTACATTTATCTTCTATTTATCAGTTATAAACTTCTACTTTGAGATTCAACCCACAGTAAGTTTTCAAAAATTGTAAATTTACGCGAAAAAGCGTCATTTCCACGCTGAGAAGTGGACTTAAGAAATAAATATATTATTTTCCAGCCAATTTCAACGTTAATGCAAGATGACATTATTTTCATTTTCAAATAAGTTTTAAATTGCAATAAAGTATATAAAAATAAACCGGAAGTGTCTCTACGTGCTTTTTCAATTTGAAACTTTTAAACATTTTCCACCTCTCTTTTTCGATTTGTAAAACATATCGAATCAATTGTTGTCTTTCAGTTCATCTGTGTGAATCGATTTAAGTAAAGTAATCAATCTATCAACATGAAATTTAAATACAAGTATACACTACCCATGGGTTCGACGTATATACCCTTAACGGCTGATCGGGAGAAGTGGCTTAGGGCATCAACTAAGGGCATTGTAGTGCCCCAGACTGGGAGGTCCTAGATTAGTTTCTTCATGATCGCAGTATTTTTCGACACTAGCAAGAAAGCTAGGTCGAATTCTGTCGCTGTGTGGAGGAAAATTCTAGCGGCCGGCTGCTCTGATCGGTATTTTTCCGGAATTTCTCCGATCAACATCAGGCAAATGCCGGAGCAGTACCCTAGCAGGCCACGGACCGCGCGCGATCTTTCCTCCCCCTTCCTTGAGCTATTCTCGCCCCTCGCACACACTTACACTACCACCCGTGCATGGAGACCGGCCGGGAACTTATTCCTTGTCCCCGCTGGGGTATGCATCTCTGATGGAAGGTACCTGGTGGCAGGAAAACCCTGCTAACGGACGGCAGGTCGGCGCCGGATTAGCGCTACCTCCCGAGCAAAATCACGCCCTACACGTACGGGGCTAATAACCTTATGAGCTGACGCGCCTATCACTATCAATCCATCAACCTCACAGCTGTCACA